TCCGATCTACCCTCGCATGGGTTGCTGGAGTGCTCCTTATCAGAAATAAGCAGGCTTGGGCTATAAATTAGCTATGCCTGGCCGTTTTCTGCCCTTGATGTGAAGAGGCTTGAAGGTTCATATTAATTATCTTCTCTCATTCAGTCGCCATGTTGCAGATGGTGACTGCAGCCATGAAATTAAAAGTCGCCTGCTCCTTGGGAGGAAAGCTATGGCAAACCTCGACAGCATAATAAAAATTAGAGACATCACTCTGCCAACAAAAGTCCTTATGGTCAAAGCAATGGTATTCCCAGGAGTAATGTATGGCTGCAAGAGTTCGACTATAAGGAAGGCCGAGCGCCAAAGAATAGATTCTTTTGAATTATGGTGCTGGAGAAGACTCATCCCCTGGACTGCAAGGAGACCAAATCAGTCAATCCTAAAAGAAATCTACCTGACTGTTTCCTGGAAGGCCAGATACTGAAGCTAAAGCTCAAATATTTTGGTCACCAAAAGAGTAGGGAGCACTCATTGGAGAAGACCCTGATGCTGGGAATGATTGAAGGTAAAAGAAGAAGGGGATGGCGAAGGATGAGATGGTTAGACAGTGCTATCGATGCAACGAACATGAAATTAAGCTACCTCTAGAGGACAGTGGAAGACAGGTGGGCCTGGAGTGATGTAGTCCATGAGGTTGCGAAAAATCAGACTTGACTGTATGCCTGAACAACAGCAACAAATGTAACGATAATTCATTTGTAGAAAGTCTGTCTTCTGTTTACTTACCCCATTTGCAAAAATTTGACAGTCAGCTACTCTGCTGTTCTAAGCCCTAGTGTTTCGGTATAACCCATTCCTCTTGTAGGCCACAAGATTGTCTGTTTCTCTGCTGTAACTCTCAGAAAATTCAGTGGTGTGTGCAGGTCATCAAGACTGATGTCTGGGAAATCTTGGTACCCTTTCATTTCCCCTGGAGTGATGCCTATATTATGGACATGTAACTAATAATTGTCACCTCAGGATTAACACTGATCAAAGTTTGTCAACCTTGTTGTTATCCCTCCATCATTCCGTTGCTTGACAAAGAATACATTATCTGTAAAAATAGCTTGTAGTGTTGGGTTGCTTATCATGTGTAGATTGACTAAATCACGGCCTATTACGTATGGGTGTTTTGCCTCACATTCACCATGCACCTCTGTTGGGTTTTCTTCTTCATTCGGCATTGATTTGCCTCCCTTCAGTTCGCTTTCCAGTTGGTGTTTCCATGGGTTTTCTGAGGGTGCTTTTGTGTTTATTTTTGCCTTGCTTCTCCAAGCAGAAGGTGATTCCCTCAGACCTTCCCACCCTGGTCTGATAGATTTCAACAGTGGGTTTGTCCCCTTTGCCTGTGTTCTTTTTTGTTTGCTTTCATTCGATGAACTAATGCTAAAATGCATGCACAAAACCTGAACCAGCAGGATTTAAATGGAAGGTGCTTGCTGGACGCTACTGTGCAGCTGCGGTAAGGCAATTGCATAATTTTTTTAAAAAGTTGGATGTCAGCCCCCACATGTCATGACGTTCCCACCTTGATTTTTAAAAGTGTGGGTTTTTTATTGCAGCCACAGAATAAATACACGGGAAGAAAAAGAATGGTGTTTAAGACAGGGACAGAATCCCAAGTCAAGCTTAAAGGTTTACTGCTCAGAAAATCTGCGTGGGCATAATGGGCCCATGTCTTAGTGTGTATTGTTGATGTGGACAGTGACTTCTTCTACAACTCTGGCAGGCAAAAGTTCCTCCATACCAACAGGGACATTTTTCAGTCCCCTACAATTTCTTGCTGATTAAGATATGCATGGGAACTCTAGGACCAAAGCACCTTTGGTGTGAGAGAAGTCACTTCCCAACAATTGCATCCATTGGCATTTTATTCTCATTTTATCCATTGGCATTTTATTCTCAACGTAATGGTCACTTTCAAAGACGACGGGGACAGCAAAGGATGAGATGGTTAGACAGTGTCATAGATGCAACGAACATGAAATTGAGCACACTTCAGAGGACGGCGGAAGACCGGAAGGCCTGGCGGGAGCTGGTCCATGGGGTCGCGAAGAGTCGGACTCGACTGTGCGACTGAACAACAACAATGGTCACTTTATATTCACTTGGTGCAACTTCATTATGTTAAGTTTGCTTTCCTGGAATATTAACTGTGTAATGATTAATGCAGTCACCTTGTTTTCTCCACCCCATGCTTTTTCTGGGTTAGGGTGAAAACTATACTTTACTCTGGTCACACATCAAAATACTGAAGCAATTCTTTTCCTTGGCCAACTTACCAACCCTGAACACAGAATGGAGTGGGATAACGATCCAGTCATAAGAAATTCATCACATGAAAATTATAAGATTACATTTTGTAATGGATTTCTAATTTCATTGGTCAATATATCAAGAGGAAGCCATACTGTTACAATGTGACCAATTTTTTCCATGACAAATTTAAACTACACAGAATCAGGGTCTGCGAATCCCTTGTGTTAAAAGATGGAGGCTTTAACTGGACCAATCCAGGGCCGAAGATATACTAGCCTGGAACTTCATGGATAGGAAGTTCTGTGTAAAGTAATCATTACACAGTCTTCTACACTCTGAAGTTCAATCACTTTTGTGACTGCTTCCAATAAAAATTATAGTCAAAATAACACAATTTAATTCTAGTATAGCTGCACTGGTGCCACCTGTTAATCATCCATTATGATGGAGGATAATATGTTGGATTTAACCTGGATTCCAGTTTCTGTTCTTGTCATGAAATGCTGACCTTGGACTGGATACTCGTCTAATGATAACCTACATCTCAGGATTGAATCCTTTTAGGATTTTAATAATAATATGCAGTGTGGGAATAGGAAGCCCACATACATAGTCCTCCTTGAAAAAAGGACAGGATATCAATGTAATAAAAGAGAACTTAAATAATATATTCCTCCATGTTTCAGAATGTGGAAGCTAGGATATCACACACGGAGTTAGTAATAGGCTGGTTACAGTTTTTATTTTGCACAGATATGTATTAAATGTATACACAGTACATTCTTTTTCATCTTTCAAGATGGAAGGTGATCATTGATATCCCAGCAATACCTGAGGGGCAGGTTTTGCATCCTTTCCTTAAAAACACTGTCAAACCTTTCACTCTGTGCTACAGTCATTATGTTTTTCCAGTCCCCAACAGTACCTAGTACAAGAAGCAGAGAGAAAAGGGACATTTCAGTGAAAGTGGTCAGACAGAAATCAGTAACTTCTCTGTTTTATTATGATCAAAATAAAATTCAGACAGTACAATCTTAAAAAGAGTTACGGCTTTCTAAGCCCTTTTACTTCAGTGGATTCAAAAGGGTGTAACTGTGTAGGATTGCACAGTGAACATCTGTGATGGATTGCACATGGAAAGCAGTTTTGAAATGCTTCTTGCTTAAGAGAATTTGGGAGATGAGGGGTTAATCTTCCCTGGAGTGGAGAGCTTATTTGATTGGCTGCTCTACACATTCTGTGATTGGCCAGCATCACCTGAGAGTAAATATAACATCAGCTGTTCTGGAGGGGAAAGCATCAGTTGTCTTTTGGTCTGGATCTTTGGGGGGGGGGATATTTGGAGCCAGTGTTTTGACAGGGTTTGTCAGAAAAAATCTTCTACAGAGAAAAGAGAAAACACTCCTTTGCCATAACAGTATTAGAATTACTTTGAGGGAGAATTGAAATTCTAGGTCCAGAAAGCTACAAAGTGCTTTACTCAGATAACAGTACTGGAAGATAACTTTGACAAGAGTGACTGGGCTGTTAGGCTGTAACTCCCAATAAAGGCAGCTAGAAAAAGGTGATTGCTTCTTAGGGAAAAGAATAATCCCTGCCAGTAAAAGGGTCTGTAGTATAGGGAATAAGCTTTGGACACCTCAGGAGTTAGTAGAAAGCTGATATTTCTGAAGGGAGAAATCTAGAAACTCAAAGAAAGAGCTATTCTCCAGGAAACTCTACAAAGAAGTTGTGTTGTTGCTGAAATATACTAAGACAAGTATCTTTCACTGAAAAGAACTATAAAACTCTGAAATTAAGCTACAACCACACTCTCTTATATATTCTATGATCTCAAGACTGTATATATTAGAATGTTTTACCTCAGTATTTCTAAACTTTGGCTTAGGGTGGGCAAAACCAGAAAAATGGAGGCTCATGAAGGTTTTCAAGAACCCTGAACACGAACTTCCATGAACTTCTCTATTGCATGAACTGCTTGGAAAGTGTGTGGGGCCACAGCCCCACATGGAAGTGAGCTCTGAAGGCATTTAAATGCCTTTGGAGCTCACTCGGGTCAGGCCATGGGCTGGTGGTGGGCTCTGACAGCGGTTGAATGCCTTGGGAGCTCCCTTCCAGTTGGGCTGGCGGACATGGAAGTAAGCTCTGAAGATATGTAACTGCCTTCGGAGCCCACACGAAGCCTCCCACAAACCTCACAAACTTCCATGAAAAAACACGGAGGTTCGTGTGGTGGATTGTGGGAGACACATTTTCCCGAACGCCTGGTTCGCAAACCATGAACTGGGGTTCATTTGTCAGTTCATGCCCATGCCTGATATATACATGCCCATCATTAATACTGTGCCTCAAGTGCCATTTCAAAAGGGTTTAATAATACGACAAAACAGCTCCTCTATTTTTGCTCAAGTTCCTGTGCTGGGTCAAAAGTCTAAACAATTATCTGTGACAGCGTGGGACAATTTACTGGGCATGAGCCCACATTTGATGCCTCAGTGACTTACCTTTCCGAAGAAAGTGTCCTTTGTCTTTCTCTAGGAGATCAGGGGGCATGTTCTCATAGTTTGACCTGGGATCAATTCTCATTTTATCAAATGTAGCCTTATCCACAACAACCTGCAACTCTTCCTCAGTCAGCTTCTTTCCTAGGAAACTGCATATTTTCAATACGGAACTCCTCAGGTCCTGAAATGGGACATGGTTTTGGTGTCAGGCTATCCACAACTGAAAACCATAAGGACCAAGCAACTAAAAGAATTAGGCATGAGAGTAATAAGACGTTGAAAGTCTAAACATTAGTTCAGGATACTGAAATTTGGTATCCTGTTGGGCCATTTCAAATATAGTCTTATCAACTGCATTTCCCCCTCACTGCCATTAAATGCAAGGCCTCATTTATTTTCCAAGTACTAAATAAATGGGGCCAGAGCTACTGTAGCTTTTATGACTACTGACTGGTAACAGGTGAACTGCAGCATGGCAGATACAAAGAGGAAATTAATCACAGTTCCTGATGGGTGTACGTATTTGTCACCTCCTGAGAATTAGTATCCGCTTAAATGACTGGGCATCATGACTTCTGAAGTCTGAAGTATTCAGACTGCTGGTATCGAATTCAGAATGGTTTAGCAGAAACATCAACAGATCGCTCAGAGATTAAGCAGGAGGTTAACTACTTTGGTGGGTACCACTGCAGGCACAGGGCCTCCTATGGGAGCGGGGACTAGTAAACATCTATATCACTCCCTTCTTCCCTTCTGAAACTGTTTGAACATCATGGATGAAGATGCCTAAAACATGATGTCAGGTGGTTTTGCTGATGGAACAATCTTACCTTCTTCATTTCTTCATAGGTAAGAAAGAGAATATTGAAGTCATCCTTGTGAGCATACCAGCCTTCAACATGGTCTGTCCATGAACTAGCTAGAACTGATAGGAAACAAATTTATTTAGGTATCTCTCCCTTATAATAAAAGAGTTTTGGGTGCCAAAGTTCTAAAATGCGCCCCGTTAGTGTATGGGCGGAAGAATTGCCACTCAGAAGACGCTGGCTGCGATGACTGGCTCCCTCAGCGAACCTGGCCTGCCATTGGCTGGGTGGCTCGGAGGGGAGGGAGCCAGTCATCGCGCGTCTTCTGAGAGGAAAATCTCCCGGCCATACTCTAACAGGCCGCAATCAGGCCGGCGGACAGAGCTGTTAGGCTCCGTCCGCCGGTCGTCCCCCCCGGCGCCCACTCCAGGCCGGCGGGCGGAGCCGTTAGGCTCCCTCCGCCCGCTAGAGCTGTTAGGCTCCGTCCGCCGGTCGTCCCCCCCGGCGCCCACTCCAGGCCGGCGGGCGGAGCCGTTAGGCTCCATCCGCCGGCTCCCCCCACACCC